ACATACATACATACATACATACATACATACATACATACATACATACATACATACCTACATACATACGAACACACATACATACATGCATACATAAATACATACATGCACACATACATACGTACGCACATGCATGCATACACATATATATATATATATATATATATATATATCGACAATCTCTCGGTAATTTTTGCATTTGCACAAATGTGCGAAAACATTTTGCATTTGCACAAATGTGCGAAAACGTATATTGACGATAGACTATGCGGTTGTGCGCATGTTAAGATTTTGTCATCCACCTTTTTTGGAAACTAAAAAGTCTAGTTAAAAATCTGACAAACTCAAATATATGTGGATTAATCATTTGGTGCGTTGTGTTTCAAAACGAATCAGTTGCAGCTGGGAAAAGTGCTTCGTACATGGAGCGTCAAGTGTATCTCACTAACACAATGCTTATAATCACGATTTTTTATTGCGGCACTGCAGCTGTTGCGGCTTTTTTATTACTCCCATGCAACGTTTTTTCACTTTCAGCAGAAACAGCTGTAAGTTTTTAGCTTGCAGTTGTTTTTTCTGACAAACTTGACCCAAGCATAAGACATGGAAACGTAAACTCAAATGAAACACTCAAATCTGCCCTATATGCTGTTAATAACTTCGAAAATTTAATCACAGACGAAATGTATCGAGATTTGCCTCACATAGAACAACAGCAAAACCCAGATTGAATTTGAAATATTCAGGTCGCACACTGGCACAGAATAGCTTTGTAAAGTTTCAGTTCTCTAGCATATCTGTTTGGCGAAATTACTTTTCGTTATCATTTCGTTAACGTAACCAAACTGCGCGATACAGACGCACATTAACGCCCATTTTGGCCCACGTGACCACGTACGAAAAACAGTGCCACTCAAAGTTAAAGCGCTCCAATTAGCTCAGTTCTCTGAATTGCCATTTGGCCAGCGATTATAAAATCTGAACTTTGATTTGTCCGTAAGTGGATGTAGGCGTGCTTTAAAGCTGAATTTGAAACCTTAAGATCATGGAAGGGCACAGAATAACTCTATGAAATTTCAGCTTCCTAACTTGTCTGTTTGCGAAATCGCTTTTCTGCCAAACAGTTTGCACGAATTCTTTTAGGCGCCCACCCTTGAGGCCTAGAATAACGCGAGCTTTAATTGCAAGTGCAGCACGTGGGGTAAATGCATGCACAAAAGTTTCAGCTTTTTAGCTACTCCTGCTGCTGGGTCGAAAGGAGTTAATCAAATGCAAACACACGGTATTCGAGCAGACAGACAGACACATACACCACACATGTATATATATATACATAGCAAGCGGCTTTGTATATATATATATATATATATATATATATGTACATGTATATATATACAAAGCCATTTGCTAATACGTGTTTTTGCGCTTGCGTAAAAATTTAAAAATGCATAAAATTTTGAAATTTGTTCAATGACTTCAAAATCTCAGGTTTAGACTTGAAATTTACCTCATTTATTGATAGGGAATTCTTGAATAAAATGTACTGGAACCTGTTTCATTTACTGGTTGTAACCTCAGTAACACTGCCTCAAGCGAATTACGTTGGAATTTGCCTCAGTTACTGATCATGGTCCTTTAATTTAACCCCAGAATTGAATTTTACCTCGTGAATAGATTGTGGCCTAAAAAACTTGTCCACAAACGAAACACAATAAATTCTGTCTCATTTACCGGTAATAACCTCAAAAACTTAATCTTAAATAAATGAATTTACCCAGTATACTAATCACGCTTGCCTGCACATATTCCTTGTGTTTCGGAAAATTTGACTAAATAGAGAACTGCGCTTTGTGGCGGCAACAAATCATAAAGCGAATGGTTGCTACACTGAAACAGTCAAGCTTTCGTATTTATTATTCTTCATTTTTTTCAGGCCACAGTAACATCGTTGTCGTACTTACTCGTCCAGGTCAGCTGCGCTTGCAATTACTACATCTTATTTTGGCGAAGTCACGAGTATCGCAATATTTTCTTAAGCCAGTTTCGCTGCGGTGCACAAAAAACAGTCTCCGTTCTACCCTTTACCGTATTAGCAGGAAAATTGAAGCCGAGCAGTATATGAAGCCAAAAATCTCTGGCAGATTACGGTAGAATGCGTCAGCAACAGTTTTTTGAATGCAAGTGATTAAAAAACACAGATCTACCAAAAGATAGATGTGATTACCTGTTCCAGTACTGAATGACTGATACTAGAGCTGTTCAATGTCCTGATCTAATTATTAACAATTTATCGCAACTCAAATTTTGAAAGTGCTCGCAGGATACATGTTTTAAGAGGGCTGAGGCTGACGGAAGGGCTGAAGAAAGGAAACAGGGAAGGGGAAGAAGGGGACGGAGGGAGGTAGGATTTGAATAAGATAGAAACCGTACCTTCTCACTCTTATTCCTGTTTCATATCGCAATCTAACTGTTGCTAATTATATTATCTCAAAACAGCATTGAAAGTGCTGTTTCAATTAATTTTTTGATAGAAGCTGAGGAGCGCAGGATTGAAGGGCGGAGAGGGATGAAAGGAGAGAGATAGGACAGCAATAACCTAAAATCTGTACCCTGCTTCCCACTTCTTGCTACCACTTACCCTCTCCTTATTTTAAATGTATTTTTGAGACATACGCTATCACTTGCTTTTAATTACCTTTCCTGCATTGTTGCACGAATGACAGATAATACAGATGATCATTCCTAATTTTAGTTCATGTCCTTTGTACAATGTCCTCCGAGATGGCATAAAGATGTTTTTCGCAAATCATGTAGAAACAATGGCCATTTTACTGTGCGTATCTCGCAAAAGGGACATTTTTTAAAAAATTGTTATGCAGCGATATGAAATCGAAGTACTCGCCTTCAGATCCAAACGCGACATGCCACGCCACTGCACTACCTACCCTTGTGGTCCATTCACCCACTGCGAACAAATAAATTCTTTATGTTTGGTCTGGCTGCTGCACCCTGTGAAACACACCCTTTCAACATTGCCGGCCTTTCACAAGGACTCCGCAACAGTATAAGCTTCGATCACCGTGGCCAAGGCAGCTGTAGGCTTCATTCAAGTCAGCACCATCTATCGACAAACGGCAGTTGGACCTGTCTAGCAAGCTTACACTGCAATTGGACCTCTCTAGCACGCCTACACTTAATTTTAAGTATTTTTAAGTAAAAATAAATGTAAGCATGCTAGAGAAGTCCCGTTGCAGGATAAGTACTAGACTTCG